AATACGGAAGCCCTTCTCCTTAGTCACACTAGCGAGCTGGACATTCTTCGCGTCCAGCTTCTCCTCCATGACCTGCTTCAGCGTCTTGAGAACCAGAGTCTCTGCCTCACCCAGTGTCAAGGAACGATGGTATTCATTCTGCAGCTCCGCCTGCGCACCCTCGCTTCCGGACCCGATAGCCTTCGCATCATATCGGTAGAACGTTCCGGACGGCTCCGCGTGGTATCTAAAATAAGCAGAATCGATTAGTACACACTTTCCCAGTAACTGTCTCACTGCCCCGCCGGTGAGTAAGCAGGGAAACACCCAACATACAGTTGCGGACCATCCTCATCAATACCAGCAAGCAGCAAGGCGACACCGAAAGGCCGACTCATGACGCTCTCCTCGTCATCTCCCGTCTCTCCGAATCGCAGGGCCAGGTCACAGATGGCCTGGGTGCAGCTCTCGACTCTCAACGGCTCGGCGTAGTGGAAGGCATGGTTCTGGCATTCGACACGGGCGTGCTCGACCAGGGACCGGGCATCTGCCTGCAGACCGGACATGGCACAGCCAATGTGTTGGTCGATCTCAACGATCTTCTCGACGGAGGAGGCCTCGAGGAGGCTGGAGGTGACACGCTTCTCGACACCCAGGATGACACCTTCGGAGGTGGCGACCTAGAGCTATGTTAGAATTATTGAGGGTAAGAGTGTAGTTGATGGTTCGGAGCGGCTTCAGATGTAGTCGGGCAGGAACGGATGCACGTACACCGATCGCTGTTGAGCCCAGCTTGATAGCTTCAAGAGAGTATTCGACCTGGAACAAACGCCCCTCCGGAGAGAAGGTGCTGTTATCGCATAGTTAGACACTGTATAGCTTCGCATCGCTATGCATTAAAGGGGCATCAGAGTCGTACTTGATTCCACGGTCTGTCAAGGAAAGCTGTTAGTTAGATGACCGCATCAGAGGGGGAGGTTTGACGGAGCTTACCGTATTCTGAGCGGGCAATGAACATGTTGGATTATGTGGGAGATGTGATGACAATTAGTGAGATGGAGGTAAGGGTAGGGAAGAATGGGAGAGAAACGCGAGATTGGGATGTAGGAGATAGAGGGAGGAGGGTAGAGTTGGCAGCAGCTCTTGGGGAAGCTCGGGCGAAGCTGTTGCGGTTGTCTACGCAAGTCCGGCGAGTGCCTGGCGGAGAGGGTGGTGGCTGCCCCAGGCCACAGTCAGGCATCCACGGCCGACTGTTTGCTTTGCCCGGATGGAACCCAAAACTACGGCTTCGGGACGTGTAGTCCGGGTCCAATGGTTGCTGTTTACTCCCCAGGATTTGAAATTACACCCTGTTTACTCCATCCAATGGTGTTAGTGGCACAGGCTGCATGATTGTCCCTCCTATCTTCCTCGACCTTGCGGGACCATGTCCGTCAATGAGCGTCGCGCCAGCTACATGAGCGCCCCGAGACCCCGCGTTGCGTCCAACCGCGTCGCCGACGCTGAGAAGCCCGGTCTGCGCAGCGCTGCTTCCCCCTTGCAATCGGAGAATATGGACCATCGTGGGAGCACCTCCAGCCAGAAAACCAGATCGTCCCGCGACCAACCACCTATCGTCAGCGACAAGCGTACCGAGCGAATGGCGATGCATACGCGAGACAAGTCCCAAGTCCGAACGAGAAACCCAGTTAAGGAGTCGTCCAATGCAGGCAATAGAGGTGAATTCATGGAGAGGTCCCGATCGAAACGAGGACCGAGTCAAGCCGAGGGGGCCAGTCCCAATTCCCGAAAGAAGGATAAGCAACCGGTGGAGAGTCAGTCTCACTTCCTTGAACTACTGGCAGGTAGAGGGATGTTCGCGCGCTAACTATATCTTGCTCCAGCCCCGTGGAATCCTCAGGCTTCGTTAATGCCCCATTCCACAGCACCGTTAGCTAGTCGAGTATCGTTTCCTCCTTTGGCTTCCAGTCTGCCTCAGTCGCTTCAACCAACACCGCTTCGCGAGCTATCAGCCGATGCGCAGGAAAGGGCGATACTGGAGGATTTGCTATACGTTTTTATGGGATTTGAAGGCCAATACATCCATTACAGGTCATATGACCCGTCCCAGGAGAAGGACAGGTTGACCGGACCTGCTTTCCAGCTACCCTCGGGAATTGACCCGACCCTAAAGGAACTTACACAATCGACCCTGAAGATAGCGACTCATTACAGTGCGCTAGAATCATTTGTGGAGGTACAGAGCCGCGCAGAATATGGGGCAGTCAGCCATGCGCTATGTGCGACGATCCGGAAATTGCTCAAGGAGTACCTGGTCCTCGTCGCCCAGCTAGAGCACGAATTACTGAACAATCCGAGCTTCACGTTACATGTTCTTCATTTACACCTAATGCCGACGAGCCAATGTTTGGCTCAGCTGTATACTCTGGGTCAGGAGCTACTCCGACGAAACGGGCTTCTAGACCAGGACCTCGACGAATCAATCGACGACTTCGACGATGTGGACAATATCCTGGAGCAACTCAAGGAAGGTGGAGAGCTTGTGCCTGGAGCCATGTCTAGCAAGAGGATCTGCAAAGGCGGCAATGTGTTGCGGCTCCTTACTGAGCAGCTGACGACATTCTCGGGTGACCCGACCACGAAAGCTCTTTTGGAAAGGCTGCTTCGGGATGCTAGTCGGCCGTACATGACAATGCTTAATGAATGGCTACACCATGGAGGTATCAAGGACCCACATGGCGAGTTTCTTGTCAAAGAGCAAAAGTGGATCAAGCGGGAGAAGCTTGAGGAAGATTACACGGACGAATACTGGGAGAAGCGATATACGATCCGCGAAAACGAGGTTCCACCACAACTGGAAAGCGTCAAGGACAAAGTCCTTCTGGCCGGAAAGTACCTGAATGTCGTGCGAGAATGTGGTGGTGTCGATGTTAGCAAAGCAGTGAAAGATGTCCCGAAAACCCTCGACGACCCTCGCTTCCTAGAGAACGTCAACGCAGCCTACACGTATGCAAACGCATCGCTGTTGAATCTCCTTCTCACAAAGAATTCCCTTACGACCCGCTTCCGTTCCCTCAAGCACTACTTCTTCCTAGATCGGTCCGACTTCTTCTCCTACTTTCTCGAGCTCGGCGCATCTGAACTACGCAAGCCCGCCAAGAATGTCAACGAAAGCAAGCTCCAATCGCTTCTCGATTTGGTATTGCGACAGCCTGGGAGTATCGCGGCTCAAGACCCGTTCAAGGAAGATGTCAAGGTCCGAATGAACAAGGTCGGGCTCACAAAATGGCTGATGCAGGTTGTCAGCGTTTCAGGTATCGATCAAGACAATCCGGAGGCGGCCATCGAGAAGTACCAGGCACCTACAAGCCAGAGTGGAGAGGATGACAAGGATATATTGGGCTTCGATGCGTTGGAGCTGGATTACTCCGTTCCTTTTCCGCTATCCCTTGTAATCAGTCGCAAAACGGTTCTCCGGTACCAGTTGATATTCCGACACATCCTGTCACTCCGCCACATTGAAACCATGCTTGTCACATCGTGGCTAGACCAGAGCAAGGTCATTGCCTGGAGGCACAAGTCCTCTGACCGACGACTCGAGATGTGGAAAAGGCGAGCGTGGAACCTGCGGTCCAAGATGTTGGTGTTTGTCCAGCAGCTTCTCTACTTCTGCACGGCGGAGGTCGTTGAGCCCAACTGGCAAAACCTCATGGACCGGGTAAATGGCACTGATGCCGATGGCTCCGAGGTGACCGTCAACGGCACTAAACAAGTCAATCGCACTGTGGACGAGCTGATGCAGGACCATGTGGACTTTCTGGATACATGCCTCAAGGAATGCATGCTGACGCAGGCTAAGCTGCTCAAGGTTTGTCAACAAGCCTACTATGATCGCATCCCTACTAATTATCGTCCAGATCCACCATCGACTCATGACCTGCTGCACCATGTTCTCCTCCTGGGCCACATCCTCTCTTGCGCGTGCGCTTGCTTCAGCGGACCCTGACTTGGCGGGAAACAAAGCCGCTGGCTCAGATGGGCGAGGATATGACCCGTCGCGTATCGACAAGCTAGAGGAAACGCTACGTCGATGCGAGGAGCATTTCAACCGGCATCTGCGGATTCTGATGGACAGGTGGGAATACCTTCCATGCTGTTGACGACAACGCTAATGGTAATATAGCTTGAACTACTACGCCGCGACTGAAAGTGTCGTTCTTCTCAAGCTGGCCCACGCTCTAAGCGCGATCAGTAAAGACGATTGAAGCTAGAACCTTTCTATCTCCACAGAAAAGTCCCAAGGGTGGCCTCGCCACCCTCGCAGCTTGCAATAATATTCAAGCCGGTGATCCTCTACAGCACGCGACGACGTCGAGCACCTAACATAGCCGTGTGAGGCCGTCCCTTAATGAGGGACTTCTACAGGCCCATCCCGAAGCCATATAGGCCGCGCTTGCGAACAGCAGTGCAGAGACGAATTGGGAGTTCCTGCACACAACCTCACCTCACCCCTCTCCACCCCCTCTATAGTTTTTTGTTTTATTACCTATGTGTTAGCCACGGCAAGGCTGGAGTATCAGGAGGAAAGACGGACGGACGGGACATGCTTGACGCCCGATGATGATTTGCGAATACCCACTACTCTACTGAATAATGCAATGCAATGAATGACAGAACATGAACGAACAAAATCACACCTAAAATTTCCGCCTCGAATGATCCATAGTCCCGTTCTATGGCTATGAGTCAGGAAGGCAACCCGGAATCGGAATCCCTCGGATGGAATCCCCGACCGTGACTGCTGTCACCCAGTAATGAGTATCGCAACGCTTACCAGAAGAGTATTAGCTTTGCATCCTTTCTATCCATAGGAAGATAAAGATAGTTGACAGTAAGCTCGCAGCTCTTACCATGTAAGACATGTAGAATATAAGCCCGCGAACCCGATAGTTAGCGACTATAGCGGAGAATAATAATAATAAGCACGGCAAATATTGATGCATCAGATCACCTGCCGGTGACATGATTTCACCTAACAGAGGAATGAATGAATATATGAACCCCTTGTATCCCTCCCTCCCTCCCATTTCCCTCCCCCTCACCCTCACCCTCACTACACCATCATCATCATCGTGACATCCACCTACTTTCAACATCCTACTAGTATTTAAAATAAATACAACAACAACAACAACTACTACTACTACTACTACTACACTATTCCAACATCAACACCAAGAATACACAACAATCAAAATGCCCTCCCTCCTCACAACCCTCAAATCCACCCTCCCCTCCCCATCCCCCAATCCTGGCTCCAATCCCCATCCCGCCAAACAATAACACTAACCACCCTCACAACCCTCCTCCTCCCCCTCCTCTACAAAAACTACAAAACCTACCTATCCTACGGCCCCGGCGGCGCCCCATACAACCTCCTGGGCTGGTTCGGGGTGACATTCCTCCTGTACCCATTCGGACGCAACATGACCAGCACGACCATCTACGAGAAGAAGATCGCGAACGGCGAGACGCAATCATACCTCTCCGAAGACACGGTAGATCTGCTCAGCGCTTTGAAGAGGGAGAAGAGACCCGCCGTCGGACCGCATTATGTGCCGCAGCGCCAGGTGGAGGAGTTTGCGGGGGAGGAGGTGAAGAAGGTTTTCATCCATCCCTTTGCTTCATATTGCTTCATCTTTGTGGTATATCCGATGATAAGTGGAAAACTAGACTAATAGTATGTGTGTGTGTGTATGGGTATGTGTGTAGTACCTCGACTCGCAATTCTACGCCCTCGCAGAACAAAACCCGCAATTAGTGAAAGTCGCCGATTCGCGATTGGAGCTGCATGCGGGAGCGATATTCCTTGCGACGGAGGAATTGACTAATAGGAATGAGACGACGAGGAAAATGAATGGCGAGTGTGTGCATGTCCATCGCTTGAAGGATTATTCGTTGCATATGGTTTTGGCCCCTGCGGATTGTGAGTTCTTCCTTTTTCTTTCTTTCTTTCTTTCTCTGGCTTTGACTGTGTTTGGATTATTTGTGGTGGATGGACTGGTGTCTCTGTTTTCTGGGTACTGGTACTGATTTCTGCAGGTAAGAAAGTTTTCGATGCTGGTTGGGGTCAGAGGCACGGGTTCAGTGGTGTGGAGATTCCCAGGGCTTTGGTGGGCGGGAAATTGATTCAATTGCCATCTGAGTATGTGTTGATCTATGCGCCAAGGACGAAGGAGGAGGTTACTTTGGTGCTGGGTCTTATGAAGGCCAGTCTAAGGTATCTGACTGGCGAGGAGGTGCAGTGAAGAAAGACTATTCCAAAGGAAGGGAAGTACTCGGCAAGGTCGGGTGTGGTTACGTATAGCATGACCCATTGTATAACACGCTAGTCGAATTTTGTACGCTAAAAAGAAGGAAGAAAGCGCCCCTCTCTTGCTCTTGTGAACCCATATATTTTCTTTGCATAATTGAGTGGTGATGATCAGGGCACCATGGATTACTAGTTCCGAGACGGACACACTGAGACGCTTATTCTAATCCTGAGAACCTTGGAGTGGATTGTCAAAAACAAGAGAACGAGAACACTTACCTTCAGCACTACATAACGCCCCTCATCTACTAGATATTCTTCACGATCCTTCAGACTTCACGTCCGTTGACAGTAGCTTTACTGACAACTGCCGCAAGTATAGTGGGCACTGCCCCAGGGCACTAGCGGGCCTAACCGCCCCGTAGATAGGCCCCGACGGCAGGCCTTCCCCTACCCGAAGCTGAACCATGGTTCTGGGTTTGCCGCCAACTATCTGCGTGCCCTGTGCCCATGTCCTCTTCCCATGTCAGACCCGACGGCATGGATGCTCTAATCTCAAGCCCGTCTGATGGCTTGACATGCATGACCTCCCTGTCTGCATGCATGGGTTGTGCTCGGGGAATCATGGCCACATCAGTGCACGCTCTTGGCACAAAGCTAATAGCTAATGGAACAGACGGGTCGGCCATTTGTCCCCATCGAAGCCACCAGCAATTCGGCTGAATGGCAAACCGCGTTTCATGTGTCACCTCTGCGGAGCCCGGCCGTTCGTCACAGGAATGCTTTCTCCTCGGGTTCGAGTGTCCTATTGTACTCGAGACTGGGTCACGGTATAGAGAAGAGAAAGGAGTCAGTTCCGGACCTGATATGGGGACAGTGCTGTATCGGCCGTTTCCCAGAACAATTGTGTCTAGAAGTCTCAGCATCCTTTTAGGTCCCGATCATCTGTCGCTCAGTCGGACTCAGAGTCACTGTTCATTCGCCACGGGAAACGCCATTGGTCTGTCCTTCAGGGGCGGTCGCACGCCAAAAACTCTGCCAGCCTCGACGTGAACCGGCCATCTCAGGTTGCTGTTAGTCGCATTTACTAAGCCCTTAGATCATTGCGCGATACCAAAAGAAGCGGTGAGTGTGTGGATGCAGGGCGAGTGTCATAATAAGAAGGGGCAAGAAAATCCTGCATCGAAATTGGCCGGGCTAGTGGCAGACTTAGCACCTCCCCGACCTTTTAGATTCGCCTACCTGTGCTTTACAATCGTTCAGCAGACAACCCCACCTGTTTCGAGCATTGATGCCGTCATATATTATGTCCCTGAATGTCTTGTATGTTAGTAGAAATCCCAGGTAGTCGCCGTGATGGAGAGTCGCTTCTGCCTTGAAGGTGACAGCGGGACGAAGCCAGGAATCCCGACGGCTCTGCGCCTCCAAACCCCGAGAAGTCTTTGGCCTCCAATAAATGCGACGGGACTAGGTGACTCTAACTTTGAGTCTTGACTGGCTCCTTGAGTGGAGCTCAGAATTTTTGACAGTCTCAACCCCCTCCGGCCTCGCTTTGCTTCCCCCCTTCCCCTGTGCATGAATATGGTCATACAGAATGTGACCTATGAGCGGCTGAACAATGCAGTTCATTCGTAACGTCCCACCACCTCATTCGCCTGGGTGCAGCCTCGCACACTAACAGTCAGGCTCATATCTGAACCAGGTGGATCACAAGGCTGTCATCTATAGTTGCTCGACAAAAAAAAAGATTCTCTGTGTGGCTATCAAGTTCTCAGTTTGTGGCTTAGGAAGTAGACTCACTAGTACTTGGCTTGGCTCATGCGACAGAGCTTCCCTAGCCTCTGAGCAGGCACGATACGAGCCTAGTAACGACAACAAACTTTCTGCGCCCCGGTCATCGCGAGGAAGACAGCGTGAATCCTTCGCCTTATGGACAAGGGAAACGAGCCGATGAATGGTCAATGCCATTGTGCCGCCGGCCTTCCAGGTTTGCAGCCGGTCGTGGCCTACAGGCTGGGCCCAAGGAGTCATCCTGGGCTACCCATATGCTTATTCTGTCGGAATTGTTGACCCCTCCGGAAGGGACTATCAGCCCCTCCTTCCCCTGGGCCATAGTAGCAACCTATCCAATGCCCGAATAAGCATGTATTTGACCCAGCAAGGCGTACACCCCACAATCCACGAAATAGTGTAGTTAGATCATGGATTATCCTGAGTCCGGTCTTGCCTGCTCGGAAACACGTTTCAGGACCAACCTGCCAATGATATATGGTTTTTGGTCTTTCTGCCCCCAGTCAGATGCTTGGTCCTGCATAGAGCGGAAATTTCCATCATCCGTACTAAAACGTACGGACGCTGAGTCCCGCATAGTAAGTACTCCCCCAGCTCGTTCAGCGAGGCCAAGATAGTACTTCCCTGTCTGTGCCCAGTGGGACTTTTTATCGCCCTCTGAATTCTGGTGCGTGCCGTATCAACCGCTTTTGGAACATCCACTGAGCACACAGCCTCCATTGCACCTTCTCCCACATTATAGAAACCCCTTTTGCACTGAATTTCTTTTGCCACACATCAACATAACCACCTCAACACATATACAGTTACCCTGGGGAACGAAATAACGATGACGTACACAGCCCGTTGCCATAACCCGTGCGTGCTGTCAGGAGAGACTAACCTTCTTCCATCAACAAGGAGCCCTGACTCGCAGACGGAAAATTTGGACGAGACGTATCGGCACACAATAAACGTTCACGGACGCGAATATCAGCAATACTCGATTGATAATGAGATATCATTTCAGCCAGTTGATCGTGTAGAAGCCAAGAATCTTGCGCCACAAAAGGCCATGGCTGACTTCCCTCTTGCTAGGATGAAGCGAATCGGCTCGAGCTCCAGAATAAAGTCTTCAACAAGATCTTTGATGATCGGCTGATCTTCCCGCGAAACTGTGAGCCTCAAAGAGTTCTTGATTGTGGTCACGGCGCGGGGTCCTGGGCTATCCAGGTAGCAGAAGAATTTCCAGAATGCGAGGTTAGATCCGGGCAAGTAGCGCTGTCATTTTATGAATGACTAACGGCATAACTAAATGAAAGGTCATCGGTGTTGATATATCCCCTCATATGATACCAGATGACAACGATGATGATTTTGATGTGGCGGAAAACTTGGAGTTTCAAGTAAGGCACTTCTTCTCTTCCGACACCAATGAGTGTGCCTCTGCACAGTGCCAGAGCACACAGTTCCCCTCAAATATGAAACCTAAGTCTGCCGAACTGTCCCCATCGAGATGAATCTAATTTTTGAATCGGTAGGTCGACGATCTGAACCGCCCCTTTACCTTCCCCCCTAGATATTTCGATCTCGTCAATTCGAGGATGATGGCAACAGGTATCAATGGATCCCGATGGTCGTCATACATACAAGACATCAAAAGGTCCGGTTGTAAGGAGCGGGCCCTAGGGTCACGGATGCTGTGAAGATAATGCGAGACTGACTTCAAGGTGGAATAGAGTTCTGAAACCAGGCGGTTGGGTGCAGTTGGTCGAGATCTACTTCAACGTCCAGTCGGACAACGGTTCGCTCACGGAGAAGCACGCATTGAGACAGTGGAGTACAAAGCTCATGAGCTCAGTGGAAGACGTCAAGGATCTTCGTGTAGGCACCCGCCTGAGAGATCTTCTGCAAGCAGCAGGGCTGAAGGAAGTCGAATCCACGATGATACCTGTCCCCCTTTGCGAATGGTCTAGCGGTGAGTTCTTCTAAGCCAGTTTTAGTGGATAGAATTCTGACAATCCAGTAGAACCGAGGATGCGAGACATAGGCAAAGCCAACCGCAAGATCACCAGACATCTGCTTACTGCAGTAGCACTCTACCCCTTGACCCAACGCCTGCACATGTCGCACGACGAGTTTCAGCAGCTGATCGACCAAGCACAGAAAGAAGCGGAAACCCCGAGCCTGAAAACATATTTCCCTTTGTAAGTGGGTCGTTCGAATAGTCCAGACTGATGCTGACGATTCAGGTACGTTGCTATCGGACGAAAGCCATTATAGAGGGTCTTATGGGTGGAGCAGCGGTCTTGGGAATGCAGAATTAGGGACGCAGCAGATCGGGGATATCGTTGGGCTGCATTGATGGGAAGCGGTACTGCTTGGGTATTGACTCCGAGGCCGGAGTTCGAGATAGGCTAGACAATGCCCAGCCAAAGAAGCCCCTTCACACAATTTTCCTCCGCAAGAAGCTTTCATTTGATCAGCAGATAGAGCCCCAGTATACGATCACGCATATTCCGAGGACTCTCCATCCCAGTGATCTTCTTTGAAAGCCTATTGTGACGCCAAGAAATCTCCAGACGTGAGAAGCATAGAATTGCCGGAGTAATGAGTCCAGTGGTACTGGTGAAAGTGATGGAGTTCACTTGAAGTATCTCGAGCGATGCACTAACGGATTGGGTTCGGGATCTGGCTGGACTTGGCTTCTACTGAATAGAGAACAGGAAACTGGAAGGAGCTATGCGGGCAGGGCAAGAAGCCATGCTCATTGCAACTGACTGGACAGATGAATAGAGAGGCAAACGAAGGCGGGCCATTACCGTTGCTGACGACCACCGATGAGGGGAGTGATGGGCCAGCCACCCCTCAAGAAGAATCACCCCACCAAGAGGGAAGTGCCGGTGGTAAATCGGGTGGCTCAATTAGCTCATCTCGGAAGGTAAATTGCGGATATTGAACGAGTCATGAATGGGGAGGGAAAGAGCATAGCTAACACCCCAGGAATGACCATGAAATGATGGAACCACAAGGTTCAGGGACACAAAAGGGGTAAACCAGGGAGGAAGAAATGAAAACAAGATTTACGGCGACGAGAAGAGAGGAGGAACAGCGTTTCGGGACGGAACCAGAGCCACGGGACCAGGTGTGCCTGAGTCCTGCCCACGGACTGACTCGATCAGAAATGACCGCCCCAAGATAAGCTCAGGCCCAGATGCTCTCCTCACAGCGACCCGCGTCTGTATAACAGTCCGCGAGGATTTCTTTCAAGAGCACATGGGGCAAGACAATGGTCTACGCAGTCATTGCCAGCCCGTCCTTAATGGATCGAGCCCCGTCGCCCCATTTGGGGTGCTCCTTTGGGCCAGGACGCGATGGTAGCCTTGACCTATCCTACCAGCAGAAAGGACTCTTACTGCTGCATATTTACCGG